TATTTTGTCCATGTCGAATGCACCTGCTGCTGCCGGTGGCAGGCTGCAGCCAGTGGCAAAGAAGATGAACAAAAAGCCTGCCAAAAAGACTGAACGAGCAACCGCTGTTAGGGAGGGCATCATTCCCAAAGCCAGGCGGGGCTTCGCAAAATTTCTGGCAGAAAGATCAATGGGTGCAAGAGGGGCAGGCAAGCGTACGAAGGCAGAGCACCAGGAGGTGATGAAGCGTCTCTCGGCCGAATGGAATAACAGCACGGACATCCAGCGCGAATTCGCGCAGAAGAGCGCTCAGGAGTTTGAGCGACAGCGTGAGGCCATGCGAGAAGTTGGCCTTCGTGTGCGGGGTGAGACCGCTCAGCTAGCGCCTGAGAAGCAAGATCCAGAGCAGGATGCCCTGCCGATGCCCCGTTCTTTTGGTGCTTTTACGTTAAAGGAGCAGGCGATCTCTGGTGGTGGCTATGGAGTCGTGCAAGTTGCCTACGGAGCACAGGGTCGCCTGCACGTATTGAAGTTATACAGGAATATGGACGGGGCCGAAGATGCTCGACATGAAGCACAGATGCTTGCCCACATCCGTGCAGAGTTGCACAACGACCAGGCCCTTTGCTACTTCTGTCACGTCGACCGCGTTGAAGATGAGGCCTCCCTTTTCCATATCTTGTGCTGGCGTACGGCGGCCCGAGTCTCCGGCAGTATCTGCAACGGCACGGGCCACAGAGCAAGGACATGTGGCGTGGGCTTTCTTGAAGCAGTTGGTTTGCGCTGTCAGGGCGCTGCGCGGCGTCCGACTGGTTCACCTGGACATCAAGCCTGGGAACATTTGCTGGGCTGCGGAGACCGGACAAATGAAACTCGTCGACTTCGGGTGTTGCGAAAGGGTTCCCATACAGCAGTTTCACTTCCAGCAGTATGTCACCGAGCCATACCGTGCGCCCGAACCCTTCAATGCCAGCACTGCAGACCTCAGGCGATCACTCGGCTTCCCTGTGGACAAGTGGGCGGTTGGTGCGACGGTTTACAGTGCCGTCACGAATCGTTTTCTTTTCGAGCCCTTGAAGGGCTCGAGTTCAGTCGCTGGAGCTGTTCGTGCCTGGCGCAAGGCCGTGGGCGACGAGGATACTATGCGTGTCAAGGCCCGGCTCAAGCTTTGCAGGCCGGCCTTTGCAGATTTTGTTGAGGCCTCTTGCCGGCCCAGGCCTGCAGGCTTTGGTAAGGGCGGTTAGGGGTTTTGAAGTTTCGGGATTAGACACAAGTCAAAAAAGAAGAGGTCCGAGACAAAGCTGCAGCCCTTTTAGAGGGCATGATGCCGTCTCACGCTGCGATGGCTGGGTTATCAGCTGACTATGGCTCAGAATGTGCTTCTTTGGTCAGGAAATTTGATGTTTCGAGCAGGGGCCCGTCAACAAATTTCGAAGGCTGGTCCTCGATTGGTGCCAGAAGATGACCGTGCTCTTTCTTGAAGGCAGAGTCTTGGAAGAACCCAGTGGCCCTGGCGTGGCGACGCATGAAGCCGCAACGGCAACCGTCACAGCAGTCAGGATGTTCATGGAAAGCCCGCCTTTGGTGTACAACAACAAGGTTCATTAAGTTTGGCACACGAAGGCCAAAGCAGAAATTCTGGATGCTTTGGACTCGGCCCAGATCGTGACCAAGTCTTGTTTGGGCCGCCTGCGAGCTGAGTTTACAGACAATTGGATGAGCGACTTGTCCGCCTTCGATTTGCAGCCATGGTCAAAGGCCAAACAACCCCCTGTGAATGAGTACGAGAGTTTCTGCAAAACACGCCGGAAGCAGGTTTACCGGCTCTGCACTAATTGTTTTGATTCTTGCAAAATTTCTTGGCGTTGCGATAATATATTCTTTTTGCTTTTAGGTATTCGAATTATCTTTGATTCAACATCATCATCATCATCATTCGTGTCTTGACCTTGGCTTTGACTATCACTTTCTGAATCAGGCATTGGAGGTTGGCGCGTCGCGAGACTTCAAAGAATCTTGTTGGCGCCAGTTTTTTGGAATCGTAGATCGCCTCGCCGTTGAAGTCAGAGAGGACGTCGCGGCAGACCTATATCTGGATTGCAGAGATATCTGGGGGAGAGCTATTGTTCAGAGGGGGCAGGAGTTGGTGGGCGAAGCTTGCGCTGAACTTTCTGCATTGTATCACGTGTACAACGGCTTGTCCTCTGGCGCAAGCACTGTAGAACGCAGCCTGGGAGAATTGGCCAAGCAGCTGGAGGTACACTCCAGCCCAGTTTCTGAGGACACACTCGCTGGCTTGGCTCTTCTTGCAAACGCTCCGTTGGACGAGGAATCCTGGGCAAGCAAGCCACCTTCTTCAGTGGAATTCGGCGAGACCTGCAAGGACACCGGGGTTGCTAACTTAAACCCTAAGCCTAAGCCCTGAAGACCAGGAGAAGTAGAACTTGTATGATAGCCCCACAAGCGCCTACGCTAGACCGGAATAAACAACTTGCTTAAAACTTTCGCCCAAAACCCACCCAAAACTTTCACCCAAAACCCGCCCAAAACTCCGGACCCTATACAATGTCTTTAACCCCTTATTCAAACTTTTCCCAGGCCCTTATTCAAAATTTTCCCAGACCAGCAGGTAGGGTGCGTTTTGGGTGCGTCTTGGGTGCGTTTTGGGTGCGTTTTGAAGCCTTTCCATAGTGCAGGTTGGGTGCGATTTGAAGTTGTTCAAGGTTGGGTGCTGAAATCATTTTTCTCAGGGTGTGATCGTCTTGCTGGAGAGCAGCTCAACAGCGGCAGTGAGGGGTATCGCCAATCCTTATCTAAGACTTTATCGGGTTTTGGTTGAATTAGTAGGGCGTCTTTTTCAAGATTCGACTTCTGTTTGGGCTTGCAGGCCGGACTGATGCTGACCCCGCTCGGCCTACGGACAGCTGAGCTGTGGCTTCAGACTCATGGGCGACGCTTCGGTGTGTGTAAGAAGAAAATGACAGCAAAGAATTCTCACCAGCATCAACCTGGCAGCAAGGCAGCCATCGAACGTGCAAGAAGAGTCGCATGCGAGGCGGCGCTGGCTGGCGCAGGGCAGCTGATGCTAGGCCTGCGGCCTTCTGAAGTCAAGTTCAATCACACGTCCAGTCGGCCCAAAGTCACCCACAAGCTCAAGCTATATCACAAGGCAACGCAGGCCAAGAAGCAGCTCAACCATGTGCAACGCCAGCGCTTGGGCAGCACAGGTCGCAGCTCTGACATTCCCGTGCCCAAGCAGCCTCTGGTGTTCAGCAGATATTCGGCTGTTGCAGCTTCAGGCGTGGTTTTGAACTTGACCGGCAAAGAGTTGCACCTGTGGCCGAACGGCCGTGTCAAAACTTTGCTGGCAGAGCAGCAAAGCTGCTTGCATGCTTATCAAGCGTGCAGGCTGGCAGATGTGGTGGTCGTCCCTCTGCTGGCCCGAGGCTTCCCGTCGACGACAGAGTCCGACCCTGGGATTTGGGGAGCTTGCTTGGCCGCAGTGGCTTTGGGAAGAAGCTGCGTTGGCTTCAAGGCTTGGAATGAGGCATCCTGGAACTGCATGCTTCGGTTCCAGCGTGTGGTGGATGTGGTTCCTCTGTTGGCTCAGACAACTGCCAGGTTTGAGAGCAGACATCCGGATATTTGTGGTTTGCTTGGCAACCTGGCGAAGCTCCAAAAGTCCCGTTGGAATATCGTTTCGCACAGTCAAGCTGCCTCGCGTGAACATGTTCAGGTCAGCAACCTGGCAGCGTTGCTGCTCAAAGGGCAGCGTGTCACGGGCGCCAAAGTTGGTGGTCACTTCTTCTGACACAGGGGTAAATGATGGGGAAAATTGTGTGTGTGGCTTGCGCAACCTTTTGGTCATCCCAATCTGCGGTTATGAGCAATCTCAGCCACAAATCCTAAACCCTAACGACAAACCCTAAACCATAAACCCTAAACCCAAGCCCAAATCCCATTGAGCAGCCAAGCTTTGCCAGGTGCCTGGGCGCGGAGCGGGGGCATGCTCCGCATTGAAAATGCTGCACACATCCTGGTTTTGCAGGTTATTTGGATAGGTTTCGGTGCCTTGAATCTTCGTTGGATTCTACGAATATTTTTCGCGAGGGGGCCATCCGAGAAACTGCATTTAAACATTTAAGTTAAATGCAGACCAGCCCCAGGAACCAAGAACCAAGATGCTCAGGACTCTGGATTCTTGGTTCTTGGTTCCTGGGGCTGGGCTGGATTTAACACTGCATTTAAAGATTTAAGTTAAATGCGGGCAGACCCCATATATAAACCAAGAAACAAGAATCAAGAGTCCTGAGCATCTTGGTTCTTGGTTCTTGGTTCCTCGGGCTGGGCTGCATCTAAAATTGCGTTTAAAGATTTAAGTTAGATGTGGGCAGACCCCAGGAACCAAGAACCAAGAATCAAGAGTCCTGAGCATCTTGGTTCTTGGTTCTTGGTTCCCGGGGCTTGGATGCATTTAACTTAACTGTTTAAAATCGTATTTAAATTCAGAGGGCCTTGTCCGAATTTAACTCAAATTTTTAATTGCGACTAAAATTCAGGGGACCTCGCTCAAGTATATGATTTCAATCTTTTATCGTCGTCATGTGTTTGCCCCTTAAAAATCCTTATACATGTTAAGCAGATGGTTCCGGGTAACGTGAATAGTCAATAGTCTATTTTATGTATAATGTCCTATCTTATACAGCAAAAATAGGTGGATCTTTGGGGGGGGATACCATGAAAAAATATATATACATATATATATATATAGTGTTAAGCATACATATGCTCCTACATACCTACATGCATACAAACCGACATACAATCATACACACATAGACGAATGCCAGAATAACACATCGTACCAGATGGGGCTATGCCATGCCTTCCTTAATACGAAAAATGCGATGCTACACTGCATCAACCCCAGAAAACCCCAAGCCCCAAGACCTAAACCCTAAACCCTAAGCCCTAAACCCTAAACCCTAAACCCCCTAAGCCCTACACACATGTTTCCTGAGGTGAAGGGGACAGCCAGCTCCAGCTGCGTCCTGGCTACTTCTCCACGGCCACATACCCCGGCTCAATCTTCCGGCGCCGTGGTCCAAAGGAGTTGATCGGTTTAGGGTTCAGGGTTCAGGGTTTAGAGTTTAGGGTTTAGGGTTTAGGGTTTAGGATTTAGGCGATTTAGGGTTTAGGGTTTAGGGTATAGGGTTTAGGGTTGAGGGTTTAGGGTTTAGGGTTTGGGGCTGAGGGTCCAGAATGTAGGGTGAGTCTGTCCGAATGTGTGTCATTAGTTGTTCTTGTCTTCGTCTTGGTCTTTGAGACTACATGTCTGCTCCCGCTAAACCCTAAACCCTGAACCCTGAACCCTAAACCCTAAACCCTAAATCCTAAACCCTCGTCACCCCAGGTGCTACGGCAACCCGGAGCGCTGTCCGGGTGGGCTTCCAGGAACCTGCGCTGCGGGTAGGGACTTGAGCTCAGTGGCTCGGTAGCCCTGTGAAACCCTTCTCCCTTTTCAACTTAGAGCATGGCTACTAGCATAAAAAAAGGTTCCCTAAACCCTGAACCCAGAACCCTAAACCCTAAACCCTAAACCCTAAACCCTACTAGAATATGGTTACTGGGCTGCCAAAGGTGGCCTGCGCGCAATGTCTGCCTGGTTTGCATTCCACGGGCTCGGAGTGCGTGCCCTGCAGCGAGGGGGACTACATGCTCATCTTCCTTCTGGCTGTGATGACCCTCACGATTTCGGGACTCCTCCATCTCTTCTTGGTACGCTTGGACTCGGACCACCGCGGCCAGCATGGCGACCTGCTCGTGGCAGGCCTGTATGCTACACAGCTCATCAACAGCTTACAGCTGCTGGTCGTTTTGAGGAAGGTCGACATCGTCTGGGGATATCCTTTTGACATGGTCCTCGAAGCGTTTAGCTTCCTTTCCTTGGAGCACATTCTCTTCTCGTTGAATGCAGTGACCTGTGTGACACCCCCAACTCCAGCCCTGCAGTTCTTGCTTCAGACAATTGGCCTTCCGGGCTACGTTACTTGGCTTTGGGCCCTGGGACACTTCAGTTTTTTGTTAATTATCCCAAACCCTAGAAATCCTAGTCCTGCTCAGGAACATATTGCTGCGGATGGTTTAAACATGGCCAGCCGAGGTGATGATGGGCCCCGTTCTGGTTCACTTGACCCTGGTGCTACTGCACACTCGGTCGAAGCGTCCGCACTTCAACGTTCTCGCTCAGACGCTTGGATCTCTGAGCGTGCTCTTCTTCATCGTGCTCTGTACGTCTGTGGTGACACCCTTCGAGTGCCAGTCTCACCCCAATGGACTCTTTACGATGCAGTCGCGCATCGGTGCGCTCTGCTACACTAATTCGCACTTCCAACTTTGTGCCCTGGGTGCTTCCTTGGCCCTGCTTCCCGCGGGCTTCCTGGCACTGTGTGCTTGGCTGATTTTGGTGGAGTACCCAAAGCGTTTGCAGCGCACGGACGTGCGCTTTGTCCGGATGTGCTCCTTCCTTGCAAGGCGTTTTCGGCCCGGGGCCGAAGCCTTTGCCGTCTTTGTGCTTTGCCGGAATGCGCTCTTTGCTCTCGCACCTGTGCTCCCCTCCGTGAACGCCGGTTTGCTGCTCATCCTCGTCCTCTTGGGTTGCAGCATCTTGGCACTCGCGTTCTTCAAACCATGGCGCTCCCGACTTGCGTCCTACACTGACATCTTGGTCTCCTGTGTCTTAGTAGGTGAATGAGTACACTGCACACTTTTTGGGATGCTATAGTCCCCAAATAGACTTGAAAGTGTACGCCTTTTTGGTGCTTCTGAACTACCCTAAACCCTAAACCCTAAACCCTAAACCCTAAACCCTAAACCCTAAACCCCAAACCCTAAACCCTAAACTCTAAACCCAGCAGCTAAGGTGTGTTTGTCGCCATCCTCTTCCAGGGCAGCTTCTTCGTGAAAGCCGTGGACGGCGCGGCGGCCATGATCTTGTGCTGCTTCTAGGACCCACAAGGGTACAGAAGTAGATCGATAAAGGGGTCATAAGGGGATACTGTAAGTATTCTGACTCCTATATTGGGCCCTTCTTTCCCTCCTTTTAAGGGTTTGGGGTCCCTGTCATCCCCTTGAAACCAAGTGGGGCACCCTGTTTATTCCTAGGTTACTCTTCAATCTAGGCTTGATGCTGGTCCTCGTCATTGTCTGCCTGGCTGGCATTGGGGCACTGTCCCTGCTGCAATATTTTTGCGGGAGAGGGACCAACTATGGGTTCTTCATCTGCCACCAGAAGAAGTTCACAGGTGGGGGGGTTCTTAGGGGTTCTTCTAAAAGGCGGTTCCCTTGCCGGGGTCCTAAATAGATCCCCGATGTTAGGGGTATCCCAAGAGGACCTTTCGGAATACGCCCAAACCCCAAACCCCAAACCCCAAACCCTAAGGCAGCCTCGCGCGCTTGCTCAAGATTGAGCTCCAAGTTCGTGGTTTCCGGGTTTTCCTGGATGCCGACGACCTCACAGACCTGACGCAGCTCCTGCCAATCGTCGCAGAGAAGGCAGTATAACCCCAAACCCTAAACCCTAAACCCTAAGCCCTACGCCCTACACCCTACACCCTACACCCTACACCCTACACCCTAAACCCTAAACCCTAAACCCTAAACCCTAAACCCTAAACCCTAAACCCTAAACCCTAAACCTAAACCCAGAGTTGTTTGGGTTGAGCTTCCCTTGTAAGCACCCCTAAACCAAAAAGGGCACCCTGTTTATTCGTAGGTTACCTAAACCCTAAACCCTACACCCTAAACCCTAAACCCTAGAACTGGTTATAACTCTCAATCTTACAGGGGTTCATGCATACATAACTTATCTTGAACTACCCAATAGACCCCATTCGATTATCAAGAATACTTCTGCCCTAGACCCTGGGTGCTGTGCGCACCCTATGCCCTAAATCCTCTAGGCCTGTGTGAGGTGGAGATGTTGCTTGTCCTGGGTACACCTCAGCTCCTGACCCGAAAATGGTGCCTTGCGGAGATCGTAACTGCCAGACTCTGGGATGTTGCACAGGAACTCAAGTTTTGCTTAAGATGTAGCGGTAGGACGTAGGGCCGCTCTTTGGATGCAGAAGGATATGGAGTCGGCGAGCACATGATAAGTATTCACGTGATTCCTGCAACTGAGTGTAGATTCGAGCGCCCGAAACCCTAAGACCTAAACCCAAAGCCCTGAAACCCTCAACCCTAAGCCCGAAGCCCGAAGCCCTAAACAGCTGCCCAGGACTCAATCAGGTCCACACGATCCTCGTGGCACTTCCCGATTTCTCGCCGCCCGCCGACCACTTCATGGAGACCTTCGAGAGCGCCACCGTGTCTGGGATGCCTCGGTGTGCTACCCTTCTTTTCCCTGCTGCTTTGGTGTATAGGGTTTAGGGCTTAGTGGGTTTAGGGGCGTAGGGTTCAGGGTTTAGGGTTCAGGGTTTGGGGTTGAGGGCTTAGGGCTGAGGGTTTCCTTGTTTTAGGGGTTAGTTTGCCCTATAAAGCACTAAGCCCACCCAAGTCCTAGGAGGTCGGCGAGCTGGCAGCCTACGGATTTGGCTTGTCGGACATCACCGATGCCCTGAATCTTTACTTGAACGGGGGAGGTTTGGGGTTTCTGGAATGCTCCAAGTAGGGCTCCAACGGCGTCCTTTTCTGTTAGGGTTTAGGGTTTAGGGTTTAGGGTTTAGGGTTTAGGGTTTAGGGTTTAGGGTTTAGGGTTTAGGGTTTAGGGTTTAGGGTTTAGGGTTAGCGGTTAAGGATGTTATCGCTCCAAGGAGGTGGCTACAGGAAGTGAAGACATTCAGCTGCTTGGATTCACCGGTCACGCAACTGGTCTAGGGTTTAGGGTTTAGGATTTGGGGTTTAGGGTTTAGGGTCGCGAAATCCCAAACTCCACCAGAATTCCTAAGCCTTAAAGGTCCCCCAAGAGATATTATAACAATTCGTAAAAAACACAATATTAAACATACGTGTGTATATATATATATGTGTATATAAACATATAAATATAATCTATATCTAATAACTTATAAATAAGAGTATAAGTATAAAAACGAATAACATAGATAATCAGTGAATGAATAAAAGAACAAAATAAATATACATATATAGACTATATAGAATCCCAAAACCCTAAACCCGCACGCCCGCCAAAGAGATGCGTCAGGTCTGCAGAAGCCGCTGACGTTCGCAGCCTTGGAGGAGGCGGCGCGGCGTGAAAACTTGCGGGGCTCATAGACTTTAGGTTTTGGGGTTTAGGGTTTAGGGTTTAGGGTTTAGGGTTTAGGGTTTAGGGTTTGCTGCAATATGGCGTCGATGCCGTGAAGGTCAGGATGCAGGAGAGGCTCGAAAGCCTCGTTCAGGTGCGAAGAGCAGCTCTGGCCCGATTGTGGAAGGCCATCTAACACTTTTTTGGTGTAGGCCTAAACTCAGGACAGTTGCTTACTTCCAATAAACACAATTCAGCCAACCAGGGGGCCCCTCAGAAGGGTCCCAGAAGGTCCCAAAGGTCCAGGAATGTCCAGGCGCGTCCGAGGGGTTTTACGAGGTTTTAAGGGGGTTTCAGGGCCCCAAAAGCACCACCCTGAAATGGCCGGAGACCCTCTAATTCCTGGGAGAGGTCCAGGACCCCCCTGGGCTGGGCCCTCGAGGTACATCGGAGCTCTTTTGGGACTCTTTTGGGTAATGACCTTAAAAAAGGGTCCAGGTCCCAAGGAGAACACCGGGCTGGGCCTTGGGTCGAGGGCTCACCCTTTACTAGGGTACCCAAGGGGCTTAGAGTTTCGGGTTGAGGGTTTAACCCAATGATGACTGTACTTATTACTCACCAAATGATGGCCCTATCAGGGTACTTAAGGGGCTTATAAGCGGGTTATAACTACACTTATGATTGGTTACTATGTACCTGAACCGAGGGGGGACTTTCTGCGAAAAGCCTCAACCCCGAACCTATTCATGCTTATAATGATCTTGATGGCTATTGTTACACCTCCTTTTTGCTCAAGAACGAACCCCCCCAAAAAAAACTAGACACCGATTATCCCGAAAGCACTCCGTGCGAAGATTTCAACTGACACGTATAGTTGGTTGTGTTGTCAGTGCGGTGATCGTGGTGCCGTGGTGTGGTGTAGTAGGCTATAGAAGTAGATCGGTAGTGTAGTCTCAATGCGGTGTCGATGGCAGAGAGGATCCCCGCAGAGGGTTCACCAGACCACTCAAGAATACGCAAAAACACAAGAACCCTTCGCTAAAAGAAAGGAAAGAGAAGCAAAACAATCCTCATATTGCCTTGATAAGAATGTGTTCTATTTGTTGGGTGGTTCTTAAGCAATAGTAGTTCAAGGCTTCGGCTTCGGGCTTGCTGTGTAAGAGCTACGGAGGGTGGCGATAAGGGGTTGCGGGTTTAGGGTTTATAGTGCCGACCTTGCAGTGAGACTATTTAGAAAAGGCGTTTACCACCGTCACGTACATCTTTAAGAAATTATCCACAAAACCAAAAATGCACCACACATGCAGATAGAATATTTTTCTGTCCGCGGGTACAGATGCACTATTTCCTTTGTGCTCAGTATATGTACGCAGATAGAATGTTTTGGGGCGGGCGGGTGGTGGCGTCCCTAAACCAGGGCTGGCGCTTCTAAGAGAGCTCCAGAGCCTTTTCCAGGGCCTTGCGGCCTGCAACGTTTGATTGCAGAACCTGCAGATAGAATATTTTTAGGGCTGGGGGGGGGTGGGGGTGGCGTCCCTCAAAAGGTTCCGCTCGGAGAGGAGCCAGGGCTGGCGCTTCTAAGAGGGCTCATTACAGAACCTGCAGATAGAACATTTTTGGGGCGGGGGGCGGGTGGGGGGATGCCACGGGGGGGAGCCGGGGCTACCGCTTCTAAGAGGGCTCCAGATAGAATATTTTTGTGGCGGGGGCGCGTGCGGGGGGTGGCGTCCCTAAAAGGGTTCCACTCGGGGTCTAAGAGGGCGCCAGGGCCTTTTTCAGGGGGGTGGCCCATGCTTACGGCTTACGATTACCGTTATTGCAAGTTTTCCAGTGTTGCAACGGTTTTACAGGCATGCAAGCCTAACCCTAAACCCTGAACCCGAAGCCCTAAACCCTAAACCCTAAACCCTAAACCCTAAACCCTAAACCCTAAACCCTAAACCCTAAACCCTAAACCCTTGGAGGCTTCGAGGTTCGGGGTACGTAAACCCCAATTGTAAGTAATTATAAGTGTAGTTGTCATCCATTTATATGGCCCTGAAGTACAGTAATACGGTTATACTTGGGTTACTATACATAAACCCTAAACCCTAAACCCTAAACCCTAAACCCTAAACCCTATACCCTATACCCTATACCCTAAACCCAAACCCTCCTGAACCTCCAAAAAGATCCTTCAAAGACCCAGCCGAGGTCACCGACCAGCTAGCGGGCGTCAACCGGCCCACGGTTCTACATCCAAGGGACTCAGACTCTTGGCTGCTGAGGGTTTAGGGTTTCGGGTGTCGGGTTTGGGGTTTAGGGTCTAGGGGGAGGGTTTAGGGTTTAGGGTTGCGGGTTTCAAATTTAGGGTGCAGAGCATGAAAAACCTTTGATTCTGGGGCCCAGGGTAGGGCCGAATTCCCCCTTTTTTTGCGTTTAGGTTCCCTTATGACCCCTTTTAAACCAAAACGGGCACCCCTTTGCACCAAAACGGGCACCCTTTGATTCCTAGGTTATACTCCTGAGTGTAGTTTTTCTTCGGGAAACCCCGAGCTCGAAACTTTGAGCCCCGAAAGCCCTGCAACCAAAACCCGAAGCACCCTCAGTCTTTCCCTCAGCCCGGAGAGGACTGCCGGATCCTTGTGAAACAGGAGAGGGCTTGAGGGCTTTTGAGGATTTGGGGTGTCGGGGCCTAGATTGCTTGTTCGGACAAATAAGGAATTATTGTGATTTTTCTCGGGTTGAGGATTTAGGGATGGGGACTTAGGATTTTGAGCTTAGGACTTGGGACTTAGGATTTTGAGCTTAGGGTTTAGGATAGCGGATAGCGTTTCGGGATGAAGGAGGTAAACCCTAAGCCTTAAGCCTAAGCCCTAAACCCTAAACCCTAAACCCCAAACCCTAAACCCAAAACCTCCAATCTAAACCCTCCTAACCGCAGGATTTCGGGCTCTCGGGTTCGACGCGGCAGGGCTTTGAGAGACAAACCAGGGTAGGGGCTTGTCAGGCTGCCGCTTGGGATGTTCCCCCTTATACTAGCAGTCCGTAATCCAGGGTTTAGGGTTTCGGGTTTAGGGTGTAGGGTTTAGGGTTTAGGGCTAGTTAATCCCTGTTAAGGACTGGTAGTCTAGGGGGAGGCTTACTCTACATAGTGGCCGGAGGTTTAGGGTTTAGGGTCCAGGGCTTAGGGTTTGTAGGGTTTAAACCCTAAACCCTAAACCCTAAAGCCGGTTCAGCTAGGACCCAGGGTAGGCCCGTCTTCCCTTTTTGGGGGATGAGGTTCCCTTATCAGCCCCTTCAAGGGAGAAAGGGCACCCTTTTATTCCTAGCATGGGTCAAGCCAGGATTGTGTTTAGCGTTTAGGGGTTTAGGGGTTTAGGGGTTTAGGGGTTTAGGGTTTAGGGTTTAGGGTTGAGGGTTTAGGGTTTAGGGGTTTAGGGGTTTAGGGTTTAGGGGTTCAGGGTTTCTCTAATCTAAGAAGGCCTCAACCTACTCCAAACCCATACCCCTTCATCTATAGAAGGAGAATAGAAGGAAGGACCCATTAAGTTTCTTGAAGGGTATGCCCAAGGGGTATGCTGAATATTTCTTTGAGCTTCGTAGGGTTTAGGGTTTAGGGTTTAGGGTTTAGGGGTTCAGGGCTTGGGGTTCCGGGACTGCCCAGCTTCCCTGAAGCCTCATCATCAGTCTGCATCTGGCGTTTCGAAGGATCCCTCTGGGGAAGTTCATCTATGCAGGGTATGCATGGGCCTACAATATCGAAACCCGTTGAAGGCCCATGTATGTACCCCTACCCCTTGGCGCCTGGTCGGACCTCCAAGGCTCCCCCTACCCTCGCCCTGCTAGACTTTAAACCCTAAGCCGCCATGAAGTGCACCTGAAACTACTTATGTAGTACATATGAAGTAGGGTATCTATTTCTTGTAGCCCCAAAAGGACACCCAAGGTATACACTCACCAATATTAAAAGAGGAACCTTGTATACACTCACCAAAAACAGTAATATAAACCATGCTTCATATCCAACTCAGCCTGCGCCTTCGGCCATCAACCCCTCAAGAATCTACGGCCGCTACAGTCCCAAACCGCACGTCCTGAACTTGTTTTAAAACCCTAACTGCTCAAGAGTATGGCTGTCTCCAAAATGCGAGATGCTTTTCCGGGAAACCGTAAATGCCCTAAATCAGGAACGCTTGTAGGGTGCCTATCAGAGAACGTGCCCTTGTATCTTGGGCGCCCCTGGGGCATCTTGCTCAACAGCCCCCAGGTGTGCAAAGTATATATGATAGATCCTACACACGATGCCGTTTTGTTGCGATCGTGAGGATGACGTGGAGGCCCTTGCTACAGCACACACTCTGCGCCACCTGATGTCTCCACATTGCCTGCATTTGTTCGGCGTTCTTCCGGTGGTATTGACGCAGGCAGATACTGCAGTCGCATGGGCCGTTTCAGCATGCGGTTTGATGGAGATGCCAACCCTAAACCCTAAACTTAACCGTAAACCCGACTTCCCCGCCAGTTTCTAGAGCTGTTTCCTTGGTGGGCGCGTGTGCCCTTCGTTGAAGGCTGTGTTGTGGCCGAGGTCACCACGCCAAGGGCTTCAGGCCAATGGCAGCCGATAATGCTCGTCATGGTTTGCACGCAGCACCTGACCTGCATTACCTTTTGTGGCATCAATCATCTTCATAGCAAATACGAAACATGCCACACTAAACCTTGAACCCTAAACCCCAAGAATGCTCAGAATGGTGTTTTTTTGTTGCTCGCCTTCATCGGCTATCCATGCCGGTTCCCAAGGAACTGCCTGACCTCTCCGGACATCATGCGTTGGATTCTGGAGGCAGACATTCTCGACCAAGAAGCATAGTAACCCCCGTATTTTTTTTCGGGCTTGGGGTTTTCTAAATCCTAAACCTTAAGCCCGAAACTTAAAGTTCCTTTACAAGACGGTCTCTAGAGGCCTACCACGCGGCATCCCGGTGCTGTATCTTGCCCGTGCTCGCGGACGAGGCTTGGCAGGCTCTTGAGTTCGGGCCTTAGGGTTTAGGGTTTTAGGGATGCTTTTCGATTTTCCCCTGCTTGGGTTCAAAGGGACCTCCTGAACCCCCAAAAAACCCCTAAACAATAGAGAACCTGACAGGATCCACGAACCCGAATGCAGACACGTGTCAACGTGAAGACACGACACGAGGACAGGACACAATGACACGACACGAAGACACCACACGACACGACATGAGGACCGAAACGAGGACACGACACAAGGACACGACACGAACACGAAGAGACGATACGACATGAAAACATGAGGTCGGGGTCGGGGGTGTCGGCGGGTCGGGGTCACAAAAGCATGACATGAGGGGGGGGGGGGGGGGGCTGGGAGGATCCAAAAGCAGATCCCCTTAAGGGTTCCTTAAAATGACCCAAAAGCAGAATGGGTTACTATTGGGGGTTCTACTTTTTGGATCCTCCCAGACATCTGGGATTGTCAACGCTTGCCAACGCTTGCGGGCGCTTGGGGGTCAACTCCCTGACTAGGGTTTAGGGCTTAGGGCTTAGGGTTTGGGGTTTAGGGTTTAGGGTTTAGGGTTTAGGGTTTAGGGTTTAGGGGAGAACCCTTCTGGAAAAAAGTACAGTAACCAACTCCAACAAGGGTACCCTTATTATGAGATGGTTACTGGGCTACCAAGAAAACACCTAAACCCTAAACCCTATATAAGCCCCCCAAACAAAAAGTCCGAGAGATGTTGTGAATCAGTGAAGTGCCCGTAACACCCTAAGAGCCCTAAACAAATCCCCGAAAGATTTGTTTCAAGTGGGATTAGGGCCTAGGGATTAGGGTGAAATTAGGGTCTAGGGTTTAGGGTTTAGGGTTTAGGGCTTCGCCCAACCGAGGAAGACTATTGTATGCCGACATCCTCACGGGCATTCAACACGCTCGTCGAGGACTTGAGGTGCGAGAATGCTTCCAAGTATGCACCGTGGCTCTGGAACCCGCAGGCTGTCGTGGGGTCTGTTGGGTTAGGGTCTAGGGTCTAGGGTCTAGGGTCTTGGGTCTAGGGTCTAGGGTCTAGGGTCTAGGGTTTAGGGTTTAGGGTTTAGGGTTTAGGGTTTAGGGTTTAGGGTTTAGGGTTTAGGGTTCAAGGTTTAGGGTTTAGGGTTCAAGGTTTAGGGTTTAGGGTTTAGGGGGTTTAAGGGGGTTTAAGGGGGTTTTGGGGGAGATGTTTCTCTAAGGCACCAGGGACTCCTATTTTCCAGAAATGCCTGATATTCGTAAGAATTTATTGGCCCCCTTTGGGGAGTAGTATACTTTTGTACCTAGGGTTTGCTCTGCCTTTAAGTACAAAGAGCCCCCAAACGCGACCCGAAACCATACGCCCTAAACTCTAAACTTTTGTCACTTCAAGCCTAGGTACAGGTGGCTTGGCTCTGGATGGTATACTTTCATACCGTTTTTTTGGTTGCAGAATCGCTCGACAGTTAGGCGCTTTAAATTCGCCATACTTTCATACCTAGGGTTAAGGGTTCGGGCTTCGGGCTCCAAACTCTTTGCTTGTTTCGAGCCCATTTGGGGATTGCCATACTTAGCCATTGTTGTTTTTCGAAGAGGACCCTCCCATTTTTTGGGAAGAGCCCAGGTCCTCAGGGCGATCTTCATGCAAATCGCTGTGCACTTCTTGCCCAGGTCCTCTTCAGAAACTTGCTTAGCCAATAGTTGAACTTTAGATTTTGTGGGTTTCCTTATGTCGTAGGAATAACAAAGTTCAACCTTTTTTCCCTTTTGGGTTTCCTTATTTAGTAGGAATAACAAAGTCTAACCTTTTTTTCCCCCTGGTTTTTGGAGGAGTAAGGAAAAGGCCCTTAAGGCCAATGCCCAGCAAGTGACCGTTCGACTCAGGGCCGAGAATGCGGCCTACTTGAGCCTTGGTAGCCCAGCGGTGCCCTCTACTTTTTTTCTTTTTTTTTTTTTTTGGGGGGGGGTTCTGGGTTCCCTTGTAAAGTAACCACCCCCACAAAGGGTGCCCTTATTGTAATAGCTGGTTATGGGTTCCCTTATAAAGTAGCCACCCCCCCCCCCCCCCCCCCCAAAAAAAAAAAAAAACGGTGCCCTTGTTGTAATATGCTTACTGGGCTACAAAGGAGCTCTCTCATGGACATGTCGTGGTTCACGTCGCAGCGGTCTCAAAGCTTGGCTGAGTTGGTCGAGCAGCAGCAGAACATCGCGTCCAAGAGCGCCGAGTCACTAGAGTCACTTGAGCCACTTGAAGTTGAGCGTGCGCAAGAGTGCGTCAAGCAAGATGGCAGGGGCACCGCAGTGCCTGAGTACCTGCTTGAAGCCATGCAAGAGGAGCTGACGGAAGTGGCGATTTCCTAATTGCCTTCCGTGGAGAGGGCGTGAAATTTATGTGTCGGGATTTTTTTTTTACAGCCCAATACCCCTTAATGAAGTGTTATGAGTCTTTGAGCAGACCTGAAAATTTATCTCTTTATATAATATAATATATATACATGTATATATAAATTCTATCAGTCCCAATTATGAAGGGGTATCGGGCTCTCAAGATGTGGTAAGATTCCCCTTCTTGCTTCAAACACGACTACGAATGCAGGGTGCTCGAAAACAGAGGGCTCTTGGACCCTCTCCTGGGCACTCACAGGTTTAGGGTTTGGGGTTTAGGGGGTTTAAGGTTCAAACCCCTAAGTCTAGTAGAGCACCCCGAAGCTCCGAACCCCCAGGGGTTTAGGGGGTTTAAGGTTCAAACCCCGAAATCTAGTAGGGCGCCCCGAAGCCCCGAAAGCCTAAGGCCTAAGCCCCAAGCGCTAAAGACCTACTTGGCACCTCTCCACTGTGCTCTGAAGCAAAGACGCATCAACGGTCCGAAGAATGGATGCTGACCAGTGCTGACCCTCCTCCGTACGTGCTCCGGGCTAAGGGACCAGGAGAAAATATACAAGTTCTTCAGGCCCCCACTCCCTTCCCCTTGACAAACCATGCGCAACACTCATGCTTGATGTCCGAGGGTCCGCAAGACCCAAACCGAAGACTCTCTCTCTCTCTCGCTTTTGCTTCTGTCTTTCTTTCGTTCTTTCTTTATTATTTTCTTTGTTTCTGTCTTTCTGTCTGTGTTTTTCATTTTGTTGTTTCTCGCTCTCTCTCTCTCCCCCTCTCTCTCTCTCTATCTCTCTCCGTCTCACTCTCTTTTCTTTGTAGATGTTGGTTTCAATGGGGTTTGAGAGCGTTGCCGTAGGTTGCCGCAGGCTCTGAAGAAACACAAAGAACGAGCGCCTTAAACCCTAAGCCTAGGCCCAATTCTTCCAGGGGCCTTTGCAGGGGACCTGAGCATCCCCCTCCCCCAGCCTATCTAAAGGTCATCGATTGTATTCATCCAAGTATATCTGTACTTCCCAATTAAGAAAGCCATGCTGCGCAGCCATGCCAGTGCCCGTACCAGTCTGAAGAAGTGGTGCGCGGCGCTTCTATTTGTTTTAGGTACCAGTGCCGAGCTCTGCTTACCTGATGCCATCCCCGAAGGGGAGCGTCAGAACGTGCTTGACTCGGCGGGCCGGGAGATTCCGATCAAGTTCATAGTTTTCGACTGGCATGCAGCAGAGGTCCTTTCCTCCATCGCCAAAATCATGGTGGAGGAGGCTCTTGGATACCACGCGGTCTTTGACGAGCACCGGCCGTTCACTGTCATGGACGTCGCATTGAAGTTGTCCGGATGCCTGGACAGCACCTGCAACGACATGCAGATCAGTGACAGCCACGTGGCTCTTGACTGCTGGCTTGGGTCCGCAGGCACCGACACAGATACCTTCATGCAGCAACATCCCGGCAAGGCTCCGGAAGATCCTTAGGGATACTTTGGAACTGTTTTTTGTTTTGGGTGCTATAACTTGTAAGAAATAACTGAAGTTCTCGTTTTGGGGTACTAGAAGTTCAACTAGAGGATCTTGGTTCCATCGGTTACGAAGGGGAGGAAGCGCTGGTCGTTGCAGGGAAGCTCGTTGACGAAGCCTACGAGCATTCCGGCTTCGCCTTGGACTTCTACAGGTCCTACAACCAGTCCCACTACAGTGCTAGGAAGCACTTTGATGGGATAGCAGACCTGCCTCGTGAGGACTTCTTCCGATGTGACAATCCAGGCAACCCGAAAGCCCATCGTAGCCCGAAACCCTAAACCCTGAAACCTCAGGACTTCTTGCGATGTGACGATCCAGTCGCCATCTTTGTCGACACGCCTTACATGAATGACTACGCGCGCTGGTCAGGCCAGTTTTGTTTGGGGGAGGTTTTGGGTTCTCATGTGCTTCATAGGGATTTGCGTTAGTACACGGTCCCTTACTATGGACCCTTAGAAGGGGACACCTAAATTAGGGCAGTGTCGCCCAGTAGGTCCCTGTCATTGGGGTGGGGGGGGGGGGGGGGGGGGGGGGGGGGGGGGAGGGTTGGATTTAGGGTTTGGGGTTTGGGCTTTAAGGGTTTAAGAGTTCTAGGGCTTAAGTTGTTCAAGGTTTTGTGGGCTTTGCGTGGGGTTTGAAAAGGTTGTAAGGGTTTAAGGGTTTAAGGGTAAAGGCTGAGGGTTTGGGGTATGGGGTTGAGCTTTGCTGGAGGGTGGGTGGAAGGAGGGGGGGCGGGGTAGAGGGGGGGGAGACCCCCCCCCCACCCAACCCCGAAACCCTAAACCCTAAACCCGCGGGGGGCGGTTCGGGGGGGGGGGGTTGGGGGGGGGGGGGGGTGGCGGGGTTGTTAAGACGTTTCCAAATTCAACCCGAAACCCTGAACCCTGAACCCTAAACCCTAAACGCTAACCCCTAAACCCTAAACTGCCTAGACCCTAAACCCTAAACCGTTCAAACCTTGGGAGCTTCGAAGCTAGGGGTTGTTTGAACGCCATTGGGAAGGCGACACGGATGGGCTGCTGGCGGTGGAAGGTGGCTACAATGCCGCTGGGTTGCTGTTACCTACTAGCGTGTAGGGGTTAGGGCTTCGGCAAGTCTAAGAAAGTTTTCGCCGACTTAAACCCACTATAAACAAGGAACATCTGATGCCAGCGTAGACGCCAAACAGTGAGAGACCACATGGGCACCACGAAGAGCATGTCAAGGCAAGCTCTCCAGACACGCAGAACACGATGACGAGCAGGGGTTTCGGGGGTTTCGGGTTTTGGGTTTAGGGTTCCAGCGGCAGAGCGCGAAGGGACCAGCACACCGGGAGGGCAGCAGGTTTCCCCAGCACTAGATCACCAGGAGACCACCAGGTGACGTGTGCCACTGGAGCTCCAGACGTCCTCCGCGCACTTTTGTAGAACAAAAATTAAGCGTCCGACTTTTGAGCCACTGGACCTCCAGACATCCTCGGCGTACTACGTTTGTACTACAACATTCGGCTTTCGAGCCACTAGAGCTCCGGATGTCTTCCAAAACACCAAAAGAGACGACAGTTTCGCATGTCGTGAACACACGACAGTTTGGATCTCGCGAACTCAGACGTCAAAAAACGACGACAGTGACGAGGATGGCGCCGTCGATGCGCACGGCGCCTAGGCAGTAGCGCGATGAAGAGACAACAGTATCTCAAAGCCATGCTTTTGCAACCAAGGGTTTGGTTTTTGGAACTGAGGACTTGCCGGGGCGCCCTTTAAAATCATCTATGGACCCTGGGTTGCCAAGCTTTGTAAATCTCAAAGCAGTGCTGTTTGCATCAAGAGATATCATGCAACATTCTAATGCCTTCTTTAGCCGATACATATACATATATATATATATACACGTATACACAGGATACTCTGCTTGTTGTATATACTGAGTCGGCTGACTACATGACACGTGTAAAAAATGTGCGTATATGTATATATGCATACATGTATGTATGTACTTCTAGACCAACAAAAAAAATAAATGCATAAATATGTGTATATATATATATATTTGTATATATATATATATATGTATACCGTTCATACCCAGACGCTCCATTAAGTCAAAAACGGATTTTTGCCAATACTCATGTCTGGATCCAGCGTCAGCAGTAAGGGCAAGCACACGGTGTACGGAATTTGGTGGTCCACGCCGCATGGGGCTAATCAAAACACCACGAAATCACTGGGCAACTGTGTGTATTCAATGAGTGTTGTAGAAACCAAGCAAATTTCATTATTCTTGTCGTAGGAGGTCCAAAATTGACGTGAGTAACTCTCAAGGAAGGATCAAGAGCAATTGTATCTTGAACACAAAGGCGAAGTTCGCTCAGAACCCAACGCGTGATTGGAATTCGAACCTATGGTTCCTCAGAGGTATATATGTACACATATATATGTATATATATATATACATCTATGCTCACCCCCCCCTCCCCCCCATGATCTAGGTCGGACAGCCTTTCGGGCGCATCAAACTGATACTTAAACCTAATTCGGAACTGAAATGAAGAGGCCACACCCTTAGAGTTCTTCCTCTGATCCATGAGAAACCCTTTGGCCTCATTGTAATACAATTTAGAAGTCTAAATTTGCTTATTAACGCCGCGCCCTATGAAATCCTCTTCTGGCGCTTGCCTGTCCGTAACAGAGTCTCATAAGGACTTTATATGCAGAGGTTACAGCCTCACAAATCCTCATTTGGGCTTCCTTCCCAGTTTATTGAAAAACTGCTTATAAATAAGAAGCCCACGCCCTAAGAAAAGAATTTCATACTTAAAGGCCACACCCCGCGAAATCCTCTTCTGCGGCCTTTTCATGAAATTTCGAGAGACTTGTGTATGATAATGCCACAGCTTCGTTCGTAATTTACCCAGCAAGACAAACATACTAAGAGGCCCCGCCCCAGGACATCCTCTTCTAAGCTTCGTTGGTTATTACCTATTTGGACTTTTCTTTTACCGACCACACCCTGTGAAATCCTCCTCTGGCCCGTGCTCGCACTGAAACGTTATTTGATTTTGTATTGTCAACGCACACCCTAAGAAATCCTTTTCCGGGCTTCGTTCGTAATTCAGCCCAAGTAAGGCAAGTTTATATGAAGAGGCCAACCCCAAGACATCCTCGTCTAAGCCTAGTTCGTAAGTAAATCGAGCTAGAGTGTTTTATTGCAGACCACACCATATGAAATCCCCTGCTGGCCCCTAATTGCACTGAAGCTGAATTAGAATTTTGCACTATCAAGCCACGCCTTAAGAAATGCTCATCAGAGCTTCGTTCGCAAATAGACTTATTTTCGATCTGCCTAGATGCTTGTATTAAAAAGCCACACCATTCTGGGGCCGGTTCGTAGCAGAATCTCATAAGCACTGACTAATGTTAGATAAGAAGCCCCTGGAAATCCCCATAGAGTGGCCGCACGAAGCGAAACCATCCAACGGCTCAAGAAACCAAGCATGCGCGCTTTCAGAGCGATGCAAACTTCAGAAAGTGCACGTGACTTAGTCCACACGGGGCGTTGGCGAGATCCCGATTCGACACCATCCACAAAGCCATAATAAGCATGTAATCTCCGATGCTTCAATGCCCCAAGAAATCCTCGCGGATGCCCGCGCTGTGGCTAAGTACGATCTTCGTCCGAATGCGGCCTCGAGGAACAACGTCCACATATCCTGCACGCAACAGTATCGCATGCGCCGCACGCGCTGGATCAATCTAAAAGCTTTAACGCAAGAACACCTGGTGTCGGGACACTGTTTGGGGAAGAATCGGTGCACAAATGTGAACAATCAGCTGCTACGTGTCCATCTTAAGAAAGTTTTGTGATGCATCCCGGGGAACTTTGTTCTAGACACATGCATTCATGACCATATTTGGGTAACTTAATGCAAGCCCCTTAACGCCATTTAACGCCCAGGCTTTCTGTCCGGACGGTTACTTCTGGATAGCGCCGGCTTGCCGCCACAACACCTCAGAGTGCATTCCTATCGTGGGCGCTGAGTGGGGGTGGATGGTGGATGCGTTTATGGCATGGTCCACAGCTTACGGGATTCCGACGGCCATAGGCCTGACACGCACGACTCCGTTGTGGTCAAAGAACTTTGCCAACTTCCGCGCGCTGGCTTACTGGTATCGGCCGGACGCCGCCCTACTGGCCTATGACCCCCGACCCATCAACTTCCCGCGGCACTCGCCTAGCGAGTGGGCCCAAGGGAATAAGAGAACAGCCGGCATCGGGACCTACATCGGCACGCTTGTAAACCGCCAGTTGTCCACCCAAGCGAAAAAGGTTCACGGCTTGCTGTCGAACCTGCAGCTCGAGCTGGTAGACATTGAGCGTCTCTAGATCTCAGCCAGTTTTGTTTTCCCGCGTTCTTGGGGTAGTCAAAACTAAATAAGAATTGAGAGAATGGGCTGGGGCGTGTTTGTCCTACCTTGAGGCCTCCTCTTGCAAGCAGAAGTGGATGGACAAAGCTCACCGCAGGCGCTGAGGAACGTGGCTTGCCAGTGGGTGCTTGCCAACCGTGACTGGGTTAAAGGTGTATACTCTAGGGGACTGAATAACTAGAACAGGGTTTTGAGGGTTTTTATAGTATACTCACAAAGGTTCCAGAAGGGAATATTTACTAGCAAGTATTCCGACCCCTGTATTGCAGGCCATAGGGGCTTTTCGAGTTCGTCGGGCTCAAAGGCGTCTTTCGGGGTTTGAAATAGGGGCGTGCAGGCTACTGGGATTTCTGTTCGTCGGGCTCAAAGGCGTCTTTTGGGGTTTAAAATAGGGGTGTGCAGGCTACTGGGATTTTTGCGGGGTCATAGGGCTTGCAGGTGTACAGGGGTTTAAAAGGCAAGAGGAACTTCTCGGGACGTATAGGGGCCTGTCGGGTTTGTAGGGTTGATAGAGTTTACAGGAGTTCTACTAAACCCCTAAAATCCCCAAAAAAACCCTAAAACCCTGAAGCCCTAAAAACCCCTGAAACCCTAAACCGTCCTAAGCCGTCCTAAACCCCAAGCTAGGCGAGAAGTGGCAGAGCTGGGTGCCGCGAGACACCAGTTGCATCCCCGGCTTCGGACTCCGAGTCGCTGGGTTGCGATTTTGTTGGGCTTTTTTGGGGCTGTAGGATTGTAGTTTAAGGGTTTTAGGGTTTTTTGAGGGTTCTTTAGGGGTTGTAGGGTTGTAGGGTTTAAGGGGTTTTAGGGTTGTAGGGTTTAAGGGCTTGAGGGTTTTGCTCTGTGTGGCCCTAAAGGGTTTAGGGCTTAGGGTTTAGGTTCCTTTCAATGTTGTAGGGTTTAAGGGGTTTAGGGTTTGGCCCTAAAGGGTTTAGGGTTCGTGAGGGTTTGTTGGGTTTAGGGTTCCTCTATAAGTTTGGGTCTTCTGCCTTGGTTCTGATGATGCTAACTCAACTCAACCAGGACTTTCCCCCTTCTTTTGTGGTAACTTCTTGCAAAGTTCTTAGTTGCAGCCAGGATTCAGAGGGTCTTTTCACCTCCTTGCGCGAGAGTGCGGCGCTCTGCGCTGTTTGTCCACCCGGGATGTTCTCAACTCCACTGCTGGATGATCTTGGGCAGACCTACACCTGCCAGCAGTGCGATGCCGGCACGCACCAGAACCAAGCTGGAGAGACGTTCTGCATGAACTGCGCAGCAGGCAAGTTTGCAGAGACACCAGGCCGTTCGGAATGCGACGGGGCTCTTGAGCGAGGTACGTCTCTACTTTCTTGGCTTTTTAAGGTCCTCTTTTAAAACAATCATGAACCCTCAGGGTATGAACTTATGCGCTGCTTCTTATTCATAGCCTCAGGCGAAGGGTGCACGTTCGGAACCTTCTCAAACTCCTCCGGGGCGACGAGCTGCCAGTCTTGTGGAAACGGGAGCGCCTGGACGACGAGCCGCTACGCGGAAGTCCACGGCGAAGCAAGGCCGGGAGAAGGGCTCCTTTTTTTGTTTTTTTTGAATTTTGGGTTTCGGGTTCCAGAGGTTTAGGGTTTAATTAGTTTAGGGTTTAGGGTTTGGGGAAACCCAGAACAGGTGGATCGAAGTCGATGGCGCTGACGCCGAGAGCTTCTGCCACTGTCGGCCGAACTTCTTCCTCGACACAAGTGCTGGTCAATGTCCCTCAACTCCCTTATAATCCCAAAAACCCAAACCCTAAACTCCAAACCCTTTACCCTAAACCCTATACCCTAAACCCTAGACCGTAAACCCTGAACCCGAAACCCTGAAGAACTCGAAACTGTCAGCCTTGCACGCCCTAAAAAGCCTTGAGGCCCTAAGCATGAGCCCTAAAGCCTAAACCCTAAGCCCTCAATCCCTACTAAACCATCCTAAACCCTTAATCAGTAGTTCAGCCCTCAGCCTCAAAACTATCAGCCTTGTAAGCCCTAAAAACGCTCAAGCCCTACATCTCTAAACATGAAGCCCTACAAAAAGCCTTAAACCCTCAACCAAACCCCAAACCCTAAACCTAGAAACTATCAACCTTGCAAGTCCTAAAGCGCACATAGGATCTGGGAGGGGAGGGGGGGAGGGAGGCGGGGGCTTCGGAACAGGCCTTGCGGGGGGGGGGGGGGGGTTAGGGCGGGGATTTAGGGTTCAGGGTTTAAGTTGAGGGCTTAGGGCTTGGGTTTGGGTTTAGGGTTTGGGGTTTAGGGTTCGGTTGGTGCCTTGCCAGGCATGGAATGCACCGAAGGTGCAAACTGCGACTGGATCGTTTTTGGAAGTCATTTGCATTCTGCCTAGGACCTGGAGTAGGCCCTTATTCCCGTTGTTTAGGGTTTATGTTCCCTTCTAAACCCCTTTGAAACAAAAATGGCCCCCCTTTTCTTCCTAGATAACTTTTGGGTCTAGTTGCAGTGTGCTCTATAAGGGGGCCTGAAGCATTAGCATCTAGAGGTTCTAAAGGGTTCCAGAAATACTGATACTATGTTTGGATATGTGCGATACTTGAAGTTCGAGTGCACTATGTGTAAAACAACTGTAGAATGCAAGTAGGCCATACTACACTACGCGATGACATGTATCTATATATATATACATGTATATATATATATATATCTACATAGATAGACTCTGTTAAGCATAAATATGTTCATACATGCCTGCATGCATACATACACATGTATATAAAAACAGACACACAATCAAACACACATACAAGAGTGCTAGAACAACATATCATACCAGATGGGGCTACGGCATGACGTCTGTACTACGACAGTTGCGACGCTACACTGCATATATGCCAGAAAACCCCATTCTAATCACAAAACCCGAAACCCTAAACCCTAAACCCTAAACCCTGAACCCCGAGCCCTGAATCCTAAACCCTAAACCCTATACAGATGTTTCCTGAGGTGAAGGGGACAGCCAGCTGCAGTTGCATCCTGGCTACTTCTCCACGGCCACATCTCCCGGCTCAATCTTCCGGCGCTGTGGTCCAAAGGAAATGATCGGTTTAGGGTTTAGGGTTTAGGGTTTAGGGTTTAGGGTTTAGGGTTTAGGGTTTAGGGTTTAGGGTTTAGGGTTTAGGGTTTAGGGTTTAGGGCTGAGGTCCAGAATTTTGGGTGAGTCTTTCGGATTGTGTTGCATTGATTGTTCTTGTCTTCTTCTTGGTCTTTGCGACAAGAGGTCTGTTGCCCCTAAACCTAAACCCTAAACCCTAAACCCTAAACCCTAGAACCCTAAAACCCTAAAACCCTAAACCCTAAACCCTCGTCGCCCCAGGTGCTACGGCAACCCGGAGCGCTGTCCGGGCGGGCTTCCAGGAACCTGCGCCACGGGTAGGGACTTGAGCTCCGTGGCTCGGTAGCCCAGTGGTACCCTTTTCCCCTTGTCATGGCTCAAGGTTCCCTCATAAAGCAAAAAAGGGTTCCCTAAACTAAACCCTAAACCCTAAGCCCTAAACCCTAAACCCTAAACCCTAAACCCTAAACCCTAAACCCTAAACCCTAAACCCTAAACCCTAAACCCTAAACCCTGGGCTACCAAAGGTGGCCTGCGCGCAATGTCTGCCTGGTTTGCATTCCACGGGCTCGGAGTGCGTGGCCTGCCGGGAAGGGGACTACATGCTCGTCTTCCTCCTGGCTGTGATGATCCTCACGATTACAGGACTTAGGGTTTAGGGTTTAGGGTTTAGGGTTTAGGGTTTAGGGTTTAGGGTTTAGGGTTTAGGGTTTAGGGACACTTGAGAATCTTTTTTGGGCGCTATAGTTCCTAAGAGAGGAGCTAAAATGATGAGTTTTGTTCTGGTTTCTATTTTTAAGTTCGGCATAGAGGACTCCTCCACCTTCTCTTGGTAAGCTGGGAAATACACCGGCGCGGCCAGCATGGCAACCTGCTCGTGGCGGGCCTGTATGCTACACAGCTCATCAACAGCCTACAGCTGCTGGTCGTTTTGAGGAAGGTCGACATCGTCTGGGGCTATCCCTTTGACATGATCCTTGACATCTTCAGCTTCCTTTCCCTGGAGAACATCTTCTTCTCCTTGAATGCAGTGTCTTGTGTGACACCCCCAGCCCCAGCACTCCAGTTCTTGCTTCAGACGGTTGGTCTCCCGGGCTACGTTACTTGGCTTTGGGCCCTGGGAGACGTTTATTTTTTGTTCCCCCAAACCCAAGAAATCCTAGTCCTGCTCAGGAAGATTTTCGGTTTAAACGTGGCCAAGCGAGGTGATGATGGGCCCCGTTCTGGTTCACTTGGCCCTGGTTCTAATGCAGACTCGTTCGAAGCGGCCGCACTTGAACGTTCTCGCTCAGACGCTTGGATCTCTGAGCGTGCTCTTTTTCATCGTGCTCTGTACCTCTGTGGTGACACCCTTCGAGTGCCAGTCTCACCCAAATGGCCTCTTTACGATGCAGTCGCGCATCGGTGCGCTCTGCTACACTAATTCGCATTTGCAACTTTGTGCCCTCGGTGCTTCCTTGGCCCTGCTTCCTGCCGGCTTCCTGGCACTGTGTACTTGGCTGATTTTGGTGGAGTACCCAAGGCGTTTGCAGCGCACGGACGTGCGCTTTGTCCGGATGTGCTCCTTCCTTGCAATGCGCTTTCGGCCCGGGGCCGAAGCCTTTGCTGTCTTTGTGCTTGCCCGAAACGCGCTCTTTGCTCTCGCGCCTGTTCTCCCCTCCGTGAATGCCGGCCTGCTACTCATCCACGTCCTCTTGTGTCTCAGCATCTTGGCACTCGCGCTCTTCAAACCATGGCGCTCCCGACTTGCGTCCTACACTGACATCTTGGCCTCCTGTGTGTTTCTCGCCATCCTCTTCCAGGGCAGCTTCTTCGTGAAAGCCGTGGACGGTGCGGCAGCAATGGTCCTCTGCTGCTTTCTGCTGGTCCTCATCATTGTCTGCCTGGCTGGCATTGGGGCACTGGCCTTGGTGCAACATTTTTGTGGGAGCGCAACAAGCTTTGGGTTCTTCATCTGCCACCATAAGAAGTTGACAGGTGGGCGGGGGGGAGGTGTTGTTCTACGTTGTCCTCCCTCCTTGTGTCCCTTTTTGAAAGGTACATTCCCGATATTGATTGCGGAGCTTATAGGGTTTAGGGTTTCGGTTCAGGGGTTTGGTCAACCCCCAGGCAGCCTCGCGCGCTTGCTCAAGACTGAGCTTCAAGTACGTGGTTTCCGGGTTTTTCTGGATGCTGACGACCTAACAGACCTGACGCGGCTCCTGCCAATCGTCGCAGAGCAGGCAAATCCTACCCACCCTAAGCCTTCCTTGGAAGACCTTTTTGACTTAGTCAGTCTACTTCGTATCCCCTACAATGATTTCATAGCCCAACGTATACTTACTAGGTCAACAGGGCTTCCAAGTATGTGCTTGGCGCTGCGCCCCCTAAACCCGAAACCCTCCCTAAACCCTTCCACGCCTATACCTGGAGGTTCATGGTACTTAACAACCCAGTGTCAACTGTACGTAACCCAATTATGGCCCTATCCGGTTATACTTAACGGGCTTCACAAGTCAGACAGAGCTACACCAATAAAAGCCGTAATTAAAGCCCTAAAACCCTCAACCCTAAACCCTAAACCCTAAACCCTCCAAGTGTCAGGTGGAGGTGCTCCTTGTCCTTTGCACGTCGCAGCTCCTGACCCGAAAATGGTGCCTTGCGGAGATCGTAACTGCCAGATGCTCGGATGCAACCTAAGACCCTAAACCCTAAACCCTAAACCCCTAGCCCTTAGCCCTTAACCCTTAACCCTACACCCCAACCCTAAGGCTCTGAGGCCTTTTTCTTCCAGGGGTTTTGGGCCGGGTTTTTGAGCTATTTGGAGCCTAAGGCTAAAGCTTTAAGCGGTTTCGGGTGTGGTGTAAAGGGGTCGGAATTATTACTCATAGTGTTCCCTTAGGGTCCCTTTATAGTTATACTAGAATCACCCCCCAAAACCCTATCCTAATTATTTCAGGCCACTATATCAGGTCTTGTAGTCGGTTCAAGCGGGTTTGGGCGCAGCTGCTCAGAGCCTCGCAGCTTCGCGCGGTTGAGCCCTAAACCCCACCTGGAACACGCTTTACCTACAATTTCGCGGTTAAGGGTTTAGGGTTTAGGGTTTAGGGTTTAGGGTTTAGGGTTTAGGGTTTAGGGTTTAGGGTTTAGGGTTTAGGGTTTAGGGTTTAGGGTTTAGGGTTTAGGGCTCGCAATTAAGGGTAGCTACTAAACTGTAGGTGAAGAGGGTCCCAGGTAAGCCCTATGGTATGCGCGCCGCCCTCAGAAAGGTTTGGTAGACCCTAGCCCTAAACCCAAAACCTTAGTTAAACCCTAAACCCTAAACCCTAAACCCTAAACCCTAAACCCTAAACCCTAAACCCCAAACCCTAAACCCTTAAACCCTTAACCTTAAACCCTAAACAGCAGCCCAGGAATCCATCAGGTCAACACGATCCTCGTGACGCTTCCCGACTTCTCGCTGCCCTCCGGCCGCTTCATCGACACCTTTGAGAAGAGCACAACCGAGACTTGAATGCCTGGTGGTACCCCTAGGATTGGGGGTTTAGGGTTTAGGGTTCAGGGTTCAGGGTTTAGGGTTTACGGTTTAGGGTTCAGGGTTCAGGGTTTCCTTGTTTTAGGGTTGGTTTCCTCGATAAAGACCTAAACCCCCAAATCCTAGGACGTCGGCGAGCTGGCAGCCTACGGATTTGGCTTGTCGGACATCACCGATGCCCTGAATCTTTACTTGATCACAGGTTTAGGGTTCAGGGTTTAGGGTTTAGGGTTTCGGGTTTAGGGTTTAGGGTTTAGGGTTTAATGTTTAGGGTTTAATGTTTAGGGTTTAGGGTTTATTGTGTAGTCTTTAGTGTCCAAGGAGGTGGCTGCAAGAAGTTGAGACGATTAGCTCCTTGGATTCACCGGTCTCGCTGCTTGCAAATCCCTATCCTCCCTTAGAATCAGCCGTAAACCCTAGACCCCAAACCCCAAACCCCAAACTCCAAACCCTAAACCCTAAACCCTAAACTCTAAACCCTAAACCCCAAACCCCAAACCCCAAACCCTAAACCCTAAACCCTAAACCCTAAACCCTAAGCCCCAGACCCCAAACCCCAAACCCTAAACCCTAAACCCTAAACCCCTACCGTCCGACACACCCACCAACAAAGTTGGTCAGGCCTGCAGCAGCCGCTGACGCTGCCAGCTTTAGAGGAGGTGGCGCGGGGTTTAGGGTTTGGGGTGTAGGTTTAGGCTTTTGGGTTTAGGGTTTAGGGGCTCAAGCTGTGGTGAGACCCCTGCTTGGAACGGTCAGGGTACTTAGCAACCCAATTATAAGCGTAGTTATAGCCCACTTAGAAGCCCCTTCAGCACCCTAAGTGGGGTTATAGGTACTGTTCTATTATAATGGGGTTGCTAAGTACCATGAAGACCCTAAACCCTAAACCCTAAACCCTGAACCCTAAACCCTAAACCCTAAACCTTTTAGGGGCTCAAGCTTTGGCGAGCCTGAGCTTCGGAAGTCCTCTGCGTACTACGTTTTGTACTCGAAAGTCATCTTTCGACCCTGAACCCTAAACCCTAAACCCTAAACCCTAAACCCTAAACACCCCAAACCCTAAACCCTCACCACCAAGGCTCCGGATGTCCTCCAAGAAGCGCTAAAAGCGGCGACAGCTCAGCGTTTGGCGCACCCCAGCGTCCAACAGCGACGACAGTTTCCCTTTTCACGGACCCAGTCTTCGAAAACCCTATAAACCCTAAACCCTAAACCTAAACCCTAAACCCGTGTAAAACCCTAACCCTAAACCCTAAACCCTAAACCCTAAACCCTAAACCCTAAACCTTAAATCCTAAACCGACCGCGCATTTCGCGAATCCTCACGTCCGAAACCGACGACGGCTACAAGGCTGGCGGCGACGCGCACGGCGCCTAGGCGGGAGCGCGATTTGCAACATCGCGAATTGCAACGCCGCACGCAGCGAACCTTTCCAACGGCCCAAAAAGCGGGGAGTCCACGCGCCTGCCACGTTTTCAGGACGGGGAGCGATGCAAGGCTCAGAAATCGCAGCGGACCTAGGCGGAGAGAGTGCGGAGAGCACGACTTCCCACCCGTAATTAATCTAAACACCCCAAAATGCGCACGGGGCCGCAGAGAACGATTCGACAACATCCACCAAGCCGAGAGCACGCGCTGTGGAACAAGCGCGTGTTTCGTGCAAAGTGCGACCACCGCTCGAAGAACAGCGTCCGCGTTTCGAGCGTGCTTCGCGGGCGTTTCGGGCGCGCTTCGGGCGCGCCGCGCGAGCAACTCAAGTTAACCCCCTTTTACCACTGGACCAAAGAACCCCTAGTGTTGGCACGCTGTTTGAGGAAGTATTATGATGACCATGCTCATTCCTCTCTTGCACGCAACCCCAAATCCTCAATTCCTAAACCCCAAACCCTTAAACTCGTAAACCCTAAACCCTAAACCCTAAACCCTAAACCCTAAACCCTAAACCCTAAACCCTAAACCCTAAACCCTAAACCAACTTTAAACGTGCCGAGGTCGCCAACCAGCTCGCGGGCGTCACGAAGCCCATGGCTCCTTCTCCGACGGACTCAGACTGCCGGATCCTTGTGAAGCAGGACAGGGCCTTGGCTGCTAAACCCTAAACCCTAAACCCTAAACCCCAAACCCCAAACCCCAAACCCCAAACCCTAAACCCTTGTCAAAGAGGAGAGGGCTTGGCGGCTTTGCAACCCTAAACCCTACTTGGAGGTTCATGATAATTACACTTTGGGTGACAAGTACTCTGAAGCTCCAAAGTAAGCCGCATTGGGGGCTTGGGTTTGGTTGTTGTTGGAGGGAAGGGGGCTATAGGTTTTGAGGCCTATGATGCTCGGGCTTCCGCACGTTTGAAGTAGCCACGCCATTCCCGGTGAGTCAAAGCAAAAGCGTGCCCTACACTCCGATAACTCCCTCTAGCTAAACTCTTGGTGGAGAGCTTAAGGTTATCCAAGCACTAGATCTTCACATGGTCAGATCCTAAGCAAAGGCCTAAACCACAAACCCTAAACCCTAAACCCTTCTGTGTCAACCGCGAGGATGACATAGAGGCCTTTGCTACCGCGCACACTCTGCGCCACCTGATGTCTCCACATTGCCTACACACATTTGGCGTTCTTCCGGTGGTCTTGACGCTGGCAGATAGCGCCGTCTCTTGGGCCGCTTCAGCATGGAGGGTTCATTCAGATGCTGCAAGCCTCACAGCTTTCCAGGTAGTTGCTAGAGCGTTGTTTCCTTGTCTTTGGACCCGAAACCCTAAACCCTAAACCCCAGGCCCCAAGCCCTAAGCCCGAAGCCCTAAGCCCTAAGCTAACACTGTTTCACTGTTTGTGGCCGAGGTCGTCGCACCCAAGAGCTTGAGTCAATGGCAGCCGACTCTGCTCATCATGGTTTGCACGCAGTGCCTGACCTGTATTCGCTTGTCTTGCATCAAATCATCAGAATGAAGTAGTAATAGTATGAAAATACGATGAATACAATACCGTTAACACGAACAATACTGAAAATACACTAGAGACATACAGAGCCCTTTGAGAACTCAAGTGCAGCACTCACTCATAGTATGCATGAGGAATCCATGCAGGGTACAGTCCAAGGAACTGCCTGACCTCTCCAGAAATGATGCGATGGATTCTGGAGGCCTCCCAATTCTCGCGGGCGTTCCTTCATTCTCGACACCCTAAACCCTAAACCCTAAACCCTAAACCCTAAACCGTAGACCCTAAACAGAACCCAGTCACCAGTCACCTCGAGCTCTGAACCCTAAACTTGCTTGGCCAAGAGCCGAGCGGAAATGTTTTTGGGGTTGGCTCGTTTAGTAGGAACAAGATGCGTTTAGCCTGTCTATTCCTTGGTTATTGGAGACGTAAGTAAGGCCTAACCCTAAACCCTAAACCCTAAACCCTAAACCCTAAACCCTAAACCCTAAACCCTAAACCCTAAACCCTAAACCCTAAGCTCGGCAAACAAGAGCCCAGATTTTGGAGAGGCCTACCATGCGGCATCCCGTTGTCGCATCTTGCCTGTGCTCGGGGACGAGCCTCGGTAGGCGCTTGGGGTTTAGGGTTTAGGGTTTAGGGTTTAGGGTTTAGGGTTTAGGGTTTAGGGTGTAGGACTATGCCTTGGCCGCCCTCATCCTCTGAGCCCCCTAAGATCCGCCCTGAAAGCCCTAGGCCCCGTAGACACCTTAAGGCCTAAATAGCCCTACAGAAACCCCCAAGATGCTTTTCGAAGAAAGCCCTAAGCCCTAAACCCTAAACCCTAAACCCTAAACCCGAAACCCGAAACCCTAAACCCTAAACCCTAAACCCTAAACCCTAAACCCTAAACCCTAAACCCTAAAACGCCAAACCGAGGAAGATTATTGTCTCCCGACATCCTCACGAGCCTTCGACGCGCTCCTCCAGAGCTTGCCAGGTGAGAATGCTTCCAGGTATGTACCTGGGCTCTTAGGGTTTAGGGTTGAGGGTTGTAGGGTGTAGGGTTCAGGGTTTAGGGTTTAGGGTTTAGGGTGTAGGGTTTAGGGTTCAGCATCTCAAGCTCGAGCGTTTTCTAGGCCA